AATCCAACTCAGCTGCGAACTGCGAACTTAACTCGAACTGCCAACTCAACTGGAACTGCTTTTCACTCGCTGAGACCCTGCTTATATGGACGCCGACCAAAACCGGAGTGGGCTTGGCGGGGTTTGAGGTTCCTTGATAATTCTAAATCCACAATCCACTTCTTTGTTTTCGGTCAGGAAAATTTATTATTTTCCATTTTTGGAAGTCTTTCGTCCTCCCACCTTCTTCTGTTCTCATATTGGTATCTCACTATACCCTCAGAGGGTGTCAATGGGTTTCCCCTCTCTCTCACAGTGGCATCTCATACCGATCTCTTCAGGGGGCGGGGGTCAACAGGCCTCCCCTCTTTTTTCACATGATTACCTTCGCCTGCCGCTCACGCCAGCATTCAGCCAATGGGCGCCCACCAGTGTGGGTGTGGCCAGACTGGCCTCGGTTTAAAAAAATCTTGCTCAAAGAACAAAAAAATTATCTTCCTTTTTCTTTTCTTCCTTTCTTTCCTTTCTTCTGCCCGACAACAAGTCCTTAGACTCTTATCTTAACCGAATTTCATATGGAATTCATCACTCGGGAGCTTCGCCAAACAAGTGGGTGGTCAATTGGACGTATCGCACCTTGGTGCCAATTATTCGTTCTGATAAAATAATTTTGCTATCATAGCCAGCCCTGACAATAAACAGGTGTTTTTTCCCAAATGACATGGAGGTGGTTCAACGGACATTTTGGTTTCGGTCAAACTTGATCTAATTAATTTTTATCTCCCAGCACTCTGCGGGAGGTCGCTTGTCCAACTTGAAATTTTTACCATTGTCATGGGCAGATTGGATATATCTTATTCGGTGCGTCGTCATAAATTAAATTAAATCAGACACATCCGCGACCTTACATATATATATATATATATATATATATATATATATATATATATCTGAGATACAAAGACGAGCTGAAGAGCAATTTGTCAACTGCCGATATACCTCATAACACCAACGAGTACTTAGACCTGGTGCTGGTAGAACGGGAATCAACGTGTTTTAGTGGACTCAGTGTTTTTCAATCTGCTAGCGGGAATCGTCTTCAAGAAGTGAGAAAAACATCTAAAGGGTCATCCAATCTAACAGTGACCTCATCTCACAATCCTCAAACTTGCTCCATATGCAACCTCCTTTGTAAATCACTTGTGAGTCTTAAGTGCTACATAAGATTATTTCACAAAATCCGTAACTGAATCAATTGGTTTAATTGTCAGATCCTCATACGTCGAAACCGACGGGAGAGTCCATTATATATATATATATATATATATATATATATATATATATATCGTCGGCTTCATCTCGTATCCAAGAATTTATTTTCTTTCTGATCGCTTCCTTTATGACGGCGATGATTAAACCAATTCATGCATGGAAGAGCTGATGCCATTGTTGCATTAAATATCTAGTGGAGGACGATGTCAATTTTGTTAAGCTTTTTCGTCGCTAGACTTCTTCCTTTTTTCTTCTGGTGGTTTCGAACGATTTAGGCTCAAGTCCGGTGGCTTTCAATGTTGTTCCTTTTCCTGAAGTGATCCCACTGCATAAGCCTTGACATAGTAACCTTGACGCTTCCATTCTCGCTACCATCGAAGACGTTTTTTTAAGTATCAGCGAATGCAACGAAATGACCAGTGCATCAAACACCTGATCGCGTACACTTTAATTCTTCTACTACATTTCTAGTATTCCGCTTTTATAACTGTTTACTTCAAGGGGAACGGGACAGAAAAAACTACATTATACTAGCTGTCATGGGTCATTACCTATAACTACAGAATGAACTCTTCGTAACACCATGTATACTACGCCTCTTAAGAGAGAGGGTCGGGTCAAGCCGAGCTTCTCGGCTTGACGGTCGAATTCTCTGCCTCTGAGCAGAGAGGAAGCCGGATGAGGCTCCGACGAAGGGCAGAGTCTCGTTCGGGGAGGTTGACCAACCCGATCCCGTTTATACGGGTTCTTCGGGCATTTTTTGGCCGAGTTTACAGGTTCGGAAAACCCACGTTAAACCCGGCCTTGTGCCACATGCAACCCTCGTGGGGTCTAGATACCGAATCGAGCCGAGCTGTTTCGGCTTGACGATCGAACTCTCTGTCTCTGAGCAGAGAGGAACCCGTACGAGGCTCCGCCGAAGGGTAGAGCCTCGTTCGGGGAGGTTGACCAACCCGATTCTGTTTTTACAGTTTCTACGGGCATTTTTGGCCGAGCCTACGGGCTCGGAAAACCTACGTAAAACTCGGCCTTGTGCCACATGCAACCCTCGTGGGAAATATCGAATCGAGTCGAGCCGATAGTAGTTCACTCCAAACCAGACTGACAGTCATACTAACACCTTCCTCATCTTGTATTATTATTTCGTGTAATATACCTTCGTTATTTCTACTCTTGTGTTCTTGTTGTTCTTCCTTGGTCCTAAACTGGACCATAACTCTAGCGATATCGTTTAAAAATATATCAAGAGTTATTGATATCGAGTTAGCTTTGATTTTTCTATTTAACACATACATGGGGGAAGATGCATTCCTTTTCCAAGAGCATCATGTAAAGTGAAAGAAACAGAGTTGCTCTGAATTTGAACTCGGTATGCCGGTTTTACTTTCGGCACCGATAGCCTTTAAACTATCTTCACATGTGTTACGCTACCCGAATATGCGTTCATACTGCTATCTCCAGTTCAAAATGATCGATGAAGTAGTCGCCTGTCCAGTACACATGCTGAGAAAAAATATCCCTGGATTTTAATATAATGAGACTTCACAAATACGTGCCAACTTTCTTGAACTCTTTCCTCTTACACGCTTTTTATTTTATATATATTTTCTCTTCTTTCTTTCAGAAAAACACCAGCGATAAATGCCATTTTAAACTTGTATGATACAGCAACAAATAAAGAAACAGTTTAAAACAACTGATAAAAAAAATACAGAAGGAGCAATCTAATTCAAGAATCTTTAAAACTAAATCGCCAATCTTAAATTTCGGGCGAATATTGAGAGCCCACATTTTTTTTTTTCGTTCCGATTTTGAAGTACCATTTCTGCTTTTTGTTTTTATTTAACCAATCCATTCTTTCCTGAATCGACATTTTATACGTTTCATATATCATTTTAATTTTATTGTCTTTCAATCGCTACGTGATTGTGAATGCATTTCGTTTTAGTTTATTTTTTAATGGTTGGTTTTAATTTTTTTCTTTTCCATATCAAATATCCTGATATCTAATCGACCCCCAACTATGGCGACCGGACAGGAATTCATGAATATATCAATACAGTCGCAATCCTAGGGGAACATCCCGGGTGTTTGCTGTAATCGATTGTTATTTATGCATGCTTAAGCTTCTATGCTGACTTCTGGTGGCCTTGTGTCTGGCATTTCTTTATTATAATTAATGGCTTTCTCTGATTGCGTCGATAGGACGTCGAAAGAGATTCAAGATTGATGATCCCTTTATCAGTGTGTCGTCTTCTTTTCACTTTCTTTTTCATGAAGGAAGTTTTATTGGCTTGTCTATGCAAGGCACTTCTGATAAAGACGTATTCGAATATCTATCTATCTATCTATCTATCTAGGTCTCTCTCTCTCTCTCTATATATATATATATATATATATATATATATATACTTGTCACTTCATATCTATCTATCTATCTTATTCTGTTAATATATACCTATGCCTGTTCACATGTCTCTCTCTCTCTCTCTCTCTCTCTCTCTCTCTCTCTTAAGCTATCTATCTATCTATCAATTCTTTCGCATTTATCTAACTAGATTTTTCTTCCCTTATTAACGACTTATAAAATCTTTCACAAGTCTCAGATATTATATTTTTCTTTCTTATTTTATCGACATCTCTGATCTCTCTTCCGCTCTCTCTCTCTCTCTCTCTCTCTCTCTTGATCTCTTTCCTCTTCTTCTCACCTATTTTTCTTTTATTTTCTCTCTCTCTCTCTTGTTCCTATACATTTTCTTACTTTATTTTTTAAGTTATTCTTATTGTATTCTTTCTTTATTACTTTCTTTCTTCATTTCTTTCTTCCTTTCTTTCTTTTTCTCTTTCTTTCTTTCTTTGTGTATTTATTTATTTAATCCTTTCTTTCTTTTTTAACATATGTTTTCTTATTTTCCTGTTTGTTTTCTTTCTTTTTTATATTTTGATTTTCTTTCTTTTTGTTTCCTTCCTTACGTTTTATTTTTACTTCCTTTTCTCTTTTTTTTTTTTCTATTTTACTTTCTGTAAGTCGTCTCTATTACTTTATTGTTTGCAAGAGACCTGAAGAAATAAAGCCATGTAAAATATTACTTCTTCTTAACAGACCAAACAAAACAAAAAAAAAGAAAAAGGTCCTCTTAAAATCCGTCCGCCCAAGTAACAAATTGCATAAAAAGAAATAAAATTCAAAATCTGAATTTCAAAGTCATGAAAATTCAATTCAGTTTCCCTTTGTAAACAATCTGCGCCTTGAATGTTCGATTTGAAGGTCCTTCGCTTTCAGAGATTTTCTTTCGTCTTATTTATTCAGTATTTTTTTCTTTCTTCCTTGTATTCTTAAAAGTCTTTACTTTCCCACTTCTCATTCTTTCTCACATATAAACCATTTGTTATTACCTTCGATTTTACGCATTCTTTCTTTCATCTGTTCATATAATCATACTATTTTTTCATTCCTTTATTTTTCTTTGAGACACTTTTAATGTTACTTATGGTGGCTGTATCTGTTACCATTCGTCAACACGACGGGGGAAAATTATAGAGATTTCTGTGCATATATTTCTAAAAAGACCTTTTCCAATTTTTCAGCCTCTTTCCACAGAGACAATATCAAATGCCTTTAAATCAGCATTATCGTCATCATCATCATCATCATTATTATTAGTTCTATGGCCTAGTATGGTCGTAGGGTTACTGCTTAGCACAGCATTTGACTAGCTTTTTCCAAACGTCTCGATTGGGTGTCAATGTCAAAGGTTCCCAATAGGTGCGGCGCGCCTCAAAGGTATAGCGAAAGATGATAGAAAGTGAGGCGGAAGTGGAGAGGAATTGAAGCGGAAGAGGATAGCAGGTGAGGCGGAAGAGGATAGCATGTCAGGCGGAAGAGGATAGGAGGTGAGGCGGAAGAGGATATCAGGTGAGGCAGAAGAGTATAGCAGGTGAGTTAGGAGAGTATAACAGGTGCAGCGGAAGGAGATAGTAGGTAAGGCGGAAGAGGATAAGAGACGTGGCAAGAAGAAAATATCAGGTGAGGCAGAAGAGGATAGCAGGTGAGGTGGAAGAGGATAGCAGGTGAGGCGGAAGAGGATACCAGTTGAGGCGGAAGAGGATAGCAGGCGAGCCAAAAGAGGATAGCAGTTAAGGCAGAAGATGCTAGTAGGTGAGTTGGAAGAGATTAGCAGGTGAGGCGGAAGAGTTTAGCACATGAGTCGGAAGAGGATAGCAGGTGAGGTAGAAGAGGATAGCAGGTGAGTTGGAAGAGGATAGCAGGTGCGTCAGAAGGTGATAGCAGGTGTGGTGGAAGAGGTTAGCATATGAGGCGGAAGAGGATAGCAGGTGAGGTGGAAGAGGATACCAGGTGAGGCGGTAGAGGATAGCAGGTGCAGCAGAAGATGCTAGTAGGTGAGGTGGAAGAGGTTAGCATATGAGGCGGAAGAGGATATCAGGTTGGTCGGAAGACGATACCAGGAGGCGGAAGATGATAGCAGGTGAGGCAGAAGATGATAGCAGGTGAGTTGGAAGAGGATAGCAGGTGACTTGGAAGAGGATACCAGTCGAGGCGGAAGAGGATAGCAGGTGCATCAGAAGGTGATAGCAAGTGTGGTGGAAGAGGTTAGCATATGAGGCGGAAGAGGATAGCAGGTGAGGCGGAAGACGATAGCAGATGCGGCAGAAGATGATAGCAGGTGAGATGGAAGAGGTTAGCATATGAGGCGGAAGAGGATAGCAGGTGAGGCAGAAGAGGATAGCAGGTGAGGTGGAAGAGGATAGCAGGTGGGGCGGAAGAGGATAGAAGGTGAGGTGGAAGAGGATAGCAGGTGAGGTGGAAGAGGATAGCAGGTGAGGCGGAAAAGGATAGTAGGTGAGGCGGTAGAGGGAAATAGTAGAGGCGGAATGATTAAAAGACAAAAATTTAGAAACAGTTTCAAAAAATGAAAATGCCAAAAATAAATATGATTTCAAAACTTAAAATATTATTATTAATTACCTGTGATTGCATTTAGAGTATAATGATGATTCCAATATTGATAGTTACAAGTAATTACTGACCGATTTTATCATTGTTGTATATTTGCATTATATCAAGTATTAAGAATATAGTAACTATAGTCCGCAAAATAGAGAAGAGAATTATCAAAGATAATGTTCCAACTTCGAATCCGCGGTTATCTCCCTTTTATCCTCCCTCCCTCCCTCTCTCTCTCTCTCTCTCTCTCTCTCTCTCTCTCTCTCTCTCCGTGTGTGTGTGTTTTTTTTAAATATTTTTAAATGTACGTTTTATTCATTCTCGTTGTCTACCGTAAATAAGACGGCACGGTAGAGCAATTGATAGCGGTTCGGATTTAGGAATCTGAGAGCAGAGTTCGTATTCCAGTCGCATATATTACATTCACTTACGTACTAATAATCTTGGGAAAGTTATGAGTCTTCTTCTACTCCTCCCCCCTGGATAGAGCTTGGATGGCAACTGGTCTACTGCGGAAAGAAATGGCAACCTACTCGGGGGAAAAAATCTGCCTCGTCAGTCATATATCGGAAGGTACGTGATCGCCTGCGTATGTATCACGCATGGCACATAACTGACTGACCGTAAATAGAGTGTATCAAAATAATTTTGATTTTGAATCTCTCAAGATGTAATTTACGTTTTTCCAAGATAATCGAATGCTATACATATGATATATGTAAAAAGAATTCTAGCTCGTATTTTTTAATTATTTCGCCCAAGGCAAGGCAATAAAGCCACTAAAACGGGATTACTATCAATGAAAGAAAATGAATAAAGGCATTTATTAAGGGTAGAGAAAACAATAAAAGAATAGGAACTAGGAATACAGATGATAATGATTGAAATTTCATTTAAATGAGATCAACTTTGACTGCAAATCAAAGAAAATAGTCCCACAATGGAATACTGCGAGAGAAGAAACTATTCTCATAGAACTTACGGTTATATTTGACATTTATAACTATAAAAAGGATGAAACCTTGCCGACAATCCGGTACTGCGCTTAAATTCATAAAGTCTAGATACCAAAGGGGGAAGAACAATTACCATGGTAATATAGAAAAAGCAGAGTGAAGCTACTCTACGCTGTTGGCAAACTGATGATACCAGGGATATCTGGGAGGAGCCAATAAACATTGCAGATTTTTCTTTGTATTTTATCAAGAATATCTAAATAAGCTCAAAAGTACTTGGAAGAGGATACCAGTCGAGGCGGAAGAGGATAGCATTTGCGTCAGAAGGTGATAGCAGGTGTGGAAGAGGTTAGCATATAAGGCGACTGGAATTCGAACTCGGCTCTCTGATTCCTAAAACGGAACCGCTATCAATTGCTCTACCATGCCGTCTTATTTACGTAAAATTTAATATTGAATTCATGAACGGATGGTAGAATTATAAATGCTTAAAATAAAATAATTTTTTTATGTGCCATCACAGAAAGACTTAACAATTGATTCAATATAATCTTTTCACTTCATGTCAACAGAAAACGTTTGCCAAAAGTCACTCTCCTAGATTTTCGGCATCATCATTATTTTTCATTCCGTGTCCCGTAGGGACGTCGGGGTACCATGTGTACTGCAGGCACAGTAGAAGTGTTGTTTCTTGGGCAAGATAACCTGACGGAGCACAACCCTCTCTAGGTTGGTTTTGAATTTTTTTCCCTTCTCCTAAGGTTAATAGAATCCAGTCTGTCCTGCTATTTACCCATAGCTGGAGGGAAATGAAGAGGATTCATACCTTTCTCAGGGGTATTAGCACGTAAATGAATACAATGGACCCGATTGGAATTCAAACTCGGCTCTCCGATAACTCAATCCGAACTATTACTCATTTGTGCCTCCGCTATCCCTATTAATGGTAGTCAAAAACGATTCTCCAAGACGATTAAAAGAGAGCAATACCATTTTGGGGGCGTTAAAATTGACAAGTTATTTTTTACCCCAGTTAACAACAGATTTTTGTGATTTTTTAAAAATGTCTGCTGCTAATTTGACCTTATGAAACCTCTCAGACTTGACATTGAGACAAATAATTAGTTGTGTCATCAAGATAGATAACGAGATGAGAACTGATGACATGAGGAAGGACTTTCATGAAAATTAGGAACAGCGTTGGTCCGAGAATTGGTCCCTGGGACGACACCCACATTAATGCAAATGATAAAAAGTGGCCGTTTAAGACAGCTTTTATTGTGCAATTTGATAAGAAATATTGAATCAAATCAAAAATTCGTTCAATAAGGCCATAACCTTTCAACTTGTGAAGACCAGCAATGCCAAAACTTGTCAAATACCTTCGAGACATAAATCTTTGACAGCCGAATGTCAAGTTATAAACCCTCTTCCATCGCAAAGACCCCCCACCCACACACACACACGTCCGGACATATTTACAATTTTCAAAAAATTATGATAGAATCGTGCGTTCTATTTCGAGTATTTCGTCCAGTGAATATCCTTATATAAGATATGCTACCGGGAATAGAACAAGAATTGTGCTGTTTCGTTAAAGACACTGGAACAAGGAATGCAATGAATCAGAAGTCTCACCACTCGACGTTGGCCTCAGTCCACTTTTATATTTACATACGCTCTATCCTTGATATCGAACATTTTAGCCATAAATATAGCATATCTTAAAAATTCATTTTATCATATATATATATATATATATATATATATATAATTCTGTGCAAAAATAAGTGGAACACTACGATAATATTTAAAATCATTGTATCTTTGTTTCCAGATAATCAAGAAATTTTAATTCAACATTATATTCAATAAGAGAAATCTTTATTAAATCAATTTCAATAACTTTCAATGAAGCTGGAATAAAAATATCAACCAAAAAGTAAAAAGTGAAAAAGTAGGTGAACGCTTTACACTGTATTCTTGTTTTACATGGTTGCCAGTGCAAATAATTTTTTGTGCACATGTAAAAATCAGAATGATACGGGTTCATTTTTTGGTAAACTGTGTATACTGCAGTCCAAAAAAATAGCTCATTGTGTATCAACAGCCAATTATTAAACCAAAGATATGAAACCACCGTTTGTTGTAGACATATTAAAAATCTAACAATACAATCCATAACTCCAAACGTTTAATAATTTTAACTCACATCCTTTGATATACTTCCTACCCTCTTAAAATATTTTTTGCATATATATTACTAGTAATACTTTCGGATAAATTGTTTTACACCGATACTTATTCTACACGTTATACTGTTCGAGAATATGTCAAAATTAGATTATAAAAGCTATATTAATACCCAATACCTTTATATATACATTTTTCTACTCATGTTTAATTTCCAAATCAAAACGGCTTTTTTAAAACCCGAATAACTTATATACTCAATATATACATAGAAGAAATCACCACTTCTAAATTTATTAATTTACGAAACACTTTCATTGATTACAGAATTAGTAGTGATAACTCCAACATAAATATATGCAATTCAGTTTTAGCTTGTTTATTTTTTATAGTAAACAAAAAAAATCTCATTTGCTACTATAACTATCGCTAGAATTCCTCCCTCCTACCTCTTCCATCGTATTACTATCTCCTATTCCCTCCTTTTCTCCTCCACCCCTCACTCTTAGGACGTTTGTGAGGTGTTGTGCCTAAACTTTTCACCGTCGTTTATCGGCAAGGACTCTTGCAAGACTAGCCAGCATTCAACACCCCACCAAGCCTTCACCAAACTATCAACAAGCATTATTGTTTCACTCCGTCACCATTTTGCTTCATGTATATTTTTTCTCAAAGATATGGGAAAAAAAGGAAGTGACGTTTCACATACGGCTTGCTCAAATGCAGAATTATTCATAACCATTTTTGGTTCTCACTCGTCGAGGTGCAATTGAAATGCACCGAAACGAAGTTGCATCTTTGTAGTGAGTAAACTGCTTTTGTCTATATGATAAAATTATATATATATATATATATATATATATATATATATATATATATATATATTATTCGGAAGAGATAGACTAGGCACATGAAGAAAGGAAATGTAGCAAAATGATGACATAATGTACATTTTAGACGTATGTTAATAGTTGATATTATTGCTATAAATATATTTTCATAAATATAATTTTCATAATATTTTCTTTTAAAGGATTATGTTCTTTTTTAATAAGGCTGGCATTGGTGAAATTAAAGTTATGTCCTACGTCGTTGCGGTGCAAGACAAGAGAATTTGAATGTTTATCTAAAAGCAAATCTCTTTTGTGTTCCAGAATGCGGTCTTGTATGTCTGGTTGTTTAAAAGTAAATGAAAAACATAAGATTTAAATAAAGACGTGTACAGTGCCGAAAAGATTCATCATAGAAACATTTCTCATGGTAAACAAACATTTAGTATATTAATCAAATATGAAATAGAGATATTCAAAGAACGCATAAATACATACCAAAACATCACAATCTCCAACACATCGCATTCACACGTACACATACAAACACAAGCAGGGTGCGTGAAGTCCCATCTCTCGCTTTGTTTTGCTTCCTCCCTACTCCATTTTTTCCCAATGTCTCCGCTAAAGAAGCAAAAGAATACGTCAAATGCATGTTTCCGATAGAACAGGGTTTATATTCTGACCTTCGGCTGTCAAATATGTCCGCCTTAACGGTTATGGACAGTATGCCCAAGTTATTTTCTGCCGATTTTGATTGAG